TCATTACGGGAATAAAGTCGTAACATTACGAGAATAAAGTCATTACGGGAATAAAGTCGTAACATTACGGGAATAAAGTCGTGAAATTACGGGAATAAAGTCGTAAATTACGAGAATAAAGTCGTAAAATTATTGGCCCGCTACTCTAAAATGCAACAGTTTCTCTTCACATTTATCTTAGATAAAGAAGTTTGTTGGAATGCTAGTCTTACATTTGCAAGTTCTCTTCTTTTGAATCTCATTTATTGATATTAACAAATGAACCATTTTTAAAGGATGTTCAAGGTTGTTTCATTGTTTTTTTTAAATAGATAGTTTTTTTTTCAAGGTTTCAGTTTTTGGGAAAAGCTTAATATTTTTGAAAAAATAGCTGAACACTGTTTGCCCAAACACTGCTCACCCTTTTGTTATCCACTTTGAATGCTTAACTGGAGCTTTAAGAAATGTATTTGCTTAAGGCTTCTTATCTTCTGCAGCCTAACAGCTTTCAACAGAGAAATGTTGAAATGTTTCTAATTCAGTGGCTAGGTTCTTACTGGAGCAGAAGCCTTCTGAGATGGGCAAACCCTTAATACTTCATGTTTAGCTGCTGTTTCAAGGGAGATTTTAATCTGTTTAAGCTAGAGTGTGCTGAGAAATCGAAATGAGGATACAGAGAGCTGCAGTAAGAGAGAATCAGCATGTAGAGCATAAACTAAAAGTAATCAAATTACCTGGACTCTGGCAGCAGATTTCTCCTCTAATAGGTCGTATGTTTTCATTTGTTAGTGTCGGATTTCCTCTCCTATTCAGCTATATAAAGTACCTGCCTCACATAAGATTATCTGCCTGCTTGCTGTAATGAACATTGGGAATTGCTCAAATCCTTGTGGAGCACAACTAGATGCACCCTGAGAGTCTGTCAGCCATGCAGATGTGATTTTTGAAAGGTTTAAGTGTGACTAAGGTTTTATTATAAACAAACACCAATGAAGTTTATGTTTTAAAAAGCTAGCCTGCCATGCTTTATCTGTTCCTGCTTCTGGTAATTTTGTGAGATCTGCACTTTGATTTTTTTTTTCTTCTTTTTTACTTCTTTTTCTGGTAAGACGGCTATAATTTTTAGTTCACAGATTTATTTACAGTGAGTAAGATCAATCTTAATCTATTGATTATCATCAGACAATGTATTTACCTTTATGTATTTTTATGCTTGTGCTGTGCAATAGAGCTGAAATATGTATCATTATATAAGCCTTTAATATCAGTCAATATGTATTATTGTTAATTGATAGATTTTTACCTATTTAGAATATGGATCAGGGCAAAAAAAAAAAGCTACCCTAAACCTTACTATCTTTGCTGTAAGAGGTTGGAGGCCTAATCTCTGCCTGCATCCTCCAGAATGCTTTGTGGTTTCGGATCAGAGTTCAGTGAAAGTATAGGTCTTTCTCTGAGCCGTATTTTCTATTGATGATTATCACGTGTCTTATCGCCATACATCTTTGTATTGTTTTAATGCTCAGCCCTATTTCATGCCTTTTGTTCACATCTTTTACCCATTTGTTCAATACCAATTTCCTGTTATTCATCAATTTATTATCGTGACATAATCTATGCTTTTATTTTATTATTTTTTTTTTTTTTATTTAATTACTGAATTTACACAGGGGACTAAAAATCCAGCTTATAAAATGCTGATTCTTCCTTTCCTTTTTTTTGGTTTAGAGTCTCAAAATGAGACTAATGGGCGGAGCCACGTTTCCTCACATTAAAATGTTTTATTTATTTGTTTATTTATTTCTGGGACAGTGTATATTAATATTGTTTCTCTCAATATGCCAGTGTAAGGCAGAGGGCCATTTTTCACCTGCAGTCCTTACAAATTAAAGAATAAGAGTACATATATTTGCCTCTGCTTTTTTTTCTGTGTTATCATTTATGTTTCTATTATTTAATGTGTCTATTTGTTTGTCTGAGACTTTTATTCCTTGCTGGTGTTAGAGCTCCATCAGCTGATGTGAAGCAGACTGTCCTGTTAAAGAGATATGTTGCTTTCATAAGGCTTGTGGCAAAGTATTCCATCTCATATTGTGTGACTGAAGGTAGAAGCTGGTGGTAAATCAGCCTCATTGCCTCACCCAGCGTTGCAGGCAACTTGCCCATACAGTGGTTTAATGAGTGTGTAATGTATCTTTGGCAGCCTTTATTTAAAGAGTTTTATTATGTTTTCTTCAGGAAGGAGCTATCTTGGTTTTCCTGCCTGGCTGGGACAACATCAGCGGCCTCAATGATCTCCTCATGGCTCAACAGATGTTCCGATCAGGTAAACTCTTTCATTCATCCTGATTAGTTTGACTTTATTTCTTACACAGAAATCAAGTGTTTTATGATACACCAACAAAATGATTTTATTTGGCTGATACCAAATTGATGATGGACTACTCTGTTGCTTCAAAGCTTTACTTTTACGTCTTATATTTCAGAGAATTTTGTCATCATCCCTCTGCACTCCCTCATGCCCACTGTTAATCAGACGCAGGTAAACTTTCTCCTTTATTTTTCTGTTCTCTGATATATTTGATTCAATTTCCAACATCCAAAGCATCTGCTTTCATCTTCCTTCTCAAAACCTTTCAGGTTTTCAAAAGACCCCCACCAGGAGTTAGAAAGATTGTGATTGCAACCAACATAGCTGAGACCAGGTGTGTATGTTTGTCTCCCTGATTAGTTGCAGGTTCATTACTGTATTAAGTTTAGCCTTTTAGTATGTGCCAGTAATAATACTCTGATTGCCAGTGATAAATAGGATAAAAGATAACCGAAAGCTAATTAGCATTTTTTTCTTGGACTGATTATAAATACTGCCTCAGTGACTTGGATGAGAAAATGTAATGTGTTCACAGATCCCTACACTCGCATAAACTGAATAAATTAGACAGCTGTTTCACTTCACATAGCGCTACTTAATACAGATTCTTAAACTATTAACTAAGATATAAATGTTTTACCTCTTAAAAACTGTGTTTAATGTAATGTGCCTAAATCTGTTTTTTTTTTCTTTCTCTCCCTATTTATCTTCCCCACTGTCCTCTTAGCATCACCATAGATGATGTTGTTTTTGTGATAGATGGAGGAAAGATTAAAGAGACCAACTTTGACTCTGACAACAACATTAGCACCATGTTGGCTGAGTGGGTTAGCTTGGCCAATGCCAAACAAAGGAAAGGACGTGCTGGCAGGTACTTGCATACCTAGACACTGTGTTATTTAGGCATTTAGAATATTGGCACAATTACCGGTAATATTGATATTTCCTGGTTTTCCTACACTAGTTAAGGAGAATTATTACTCCTTTATTTTTGTCATGTAAGCTTCCCTTAAGTCTGATTTTACAGTCTACATAATACTGTTTCTCTGTCTGCAGAGAGACAAAGTTCAGTCACTCGGTCTGTTCTGTTAGTTCTGATATCAAAGTGCACCAATGCCCAATTAGCAGCAGTCTCTTACTGTGTGCAGTTTCATCCCACTGATTTTTCAAATTAAGCCCTTGTCACAGGACTGTTATAACATGTAATATCTTCTTTTTTCTTATCTCTGCCTGACTCTTCTATATTTCTTAAACATACATCCAGGGTGCAGCCAGGAAAGTGCTATCATCTGTACAATGGGCTTAGGGCCAGCATGCTGGAGGCTTATCAATTGCCTGAAATTATGAGGACACCGCTGGAGGAACTCTGCTTGCAGATAAAGGTGGTGTATGTGAGAAGAAAAGGGGACATACTGGTTTTGCTCTGAGAACTAAACTGAGGGCAGAATTTTTTTATTACTAGTCTGAATCACCATCATTGTTATCATATTACCTCAGAGCTTTTATTCATGCCTTTGAACCTTCCCTTTTCCAAGGTGGTACGATCATGACCACTTCAGTGAATGCTAAAAGTTTACATTTTTTTTGGAAGAGTTTAAAGTTAATGTTAAATCTCTTTAATAGAGAGATTTTACATTAACTTTTCCGAATAGAGTTCTAAATACAAATACTTAGTAGTATTTTTTTTTACTGTCCTTCAGCCTGACCACATCCTTTTTGTTGCCACCCCCTAAATTTTGGTATAATTCTCGCTGATAATTTCTCTTTTTAATTAAAATTTTGCAGCTCATTAAAATGAAAGTAGTTTCTGTCACAAACTCCACTTTTTAAGCAGATGGCTGAAATATTTTTGAATGATTGGTCTTATCTTCTAGAGTCACTGCTGTTGATTCACACTTAAGTTAATGAATTCGGAGGTACCCTCATTTTCAATATTCCCTCTACTTTTAGTAATGCAGCAGGACCACAGACAGCAAAACAGAACTAAAGGATCTTTAAAATGTATTTAGTCTTTGTAGATATTTAGGTCTTTGATGCCTGAAACTGTAAATAAGCAATCTTTCTCAGTACATATAAATTCAGATATTGCCTTTCAGTTTTTGATAAGCTTGAACGTTGATGTTTTTTTCCCTACACAATCCTGGTTACTACTTTAGGAGGTCATGTTTTGGGTCAAAGTCTCATTTAGATGTGTTTGCTTGTTGATTCCACACATATTTCTTAACTGGTTTTTATTCTAACATTAGTTTTCAAAGATGGCACTGACTTTAATTCTAATGAAACTGTACAGCGCATTACTCCCAAAAATAAACCAATTTTAACACTACCAGCTCTGCTAAAAGCAGGGATCAAAAATGAAGTCAGAATTATGCCAAAAACAAATTAATTCCAAGAAAAAAATCTGTGATATATCTGCAGCCTGCCAAAATACATTGATCTCCTTTATTTGATGTAAATGCATCTTCTAAAGACCAACATTAGTTAGACATCCATGCAGATAATGGTTGTGTATTAATTTCTGGCAAAATATAAATGAGTTTTTGAGTAAGCCGCAATCTACTGATTGCGGCTTACTCAAAAACTCATTTATGGTTTCCGGTCTAGTGGTTTCCGGTCCTGTGCTGAAGATTTTTTTTGCATTTCAGGCTGACTTCTGCACCTTTTTTTTAATTTTTTTTTTTTATTATAATGTATTCCCTTCTCTTCATGGCCTTGCTCTCATATATTAACAGCTTTGTTCTTCCTCTGTTTGTTGCTTTCTAAGCCCTGCTGTTTGTCCCTTTGAATCCTCATAGTGTGCTCAAAAATGTTTAAAGCATTGCTAATGGAACATAAAGCCAAAGTTCATTCAGTCTCTGTGTTTTCAGCAGCTGCTTTATTGTATGTGTTTTCAAGCATACATCTTCCTCCAGCTCAGTTCAATAAATTCAAGTATGTGTGTAATATGTTGCAATTTTTTTTTGTAAGTAGTGGGTGAGAGGCTGACTAATGCATCAGACTAACCTCGTAGTGAGAGACACTCTGACAACACGGAGACCCTGAGCTGAATCTCTAATGCACATACACTACAACATCATCCTTTTTGTCAATTGAAGAGTAGATATGTAGTTACTTTTATACTTTGTGATGAATTTAAGTCTTTTTTATCCAGAAATGAATGCATTTTAAGTGAATTTGGACATTCATAGAATCCGTTTTTATCAAAATTATTTTCTTTCTGGCACTGTGGGAAGCACATCTTGCTGACTTCATGCCAATGCTGGGAGGGCTTCACATGCAGGAGAGCTTATGAGACAGAGCCATACAAAACCCCAAACAGTGAAGCACCCACACTTGGGTTGTAAAGTAGTCTTCATTCGTCAATTTTTGGCTGATTATATGAAAATTGTTCTGCACCCTTTAGATACTGAAGCTTGGCTCCATTAGTCATTTTTTGGAGAAGGCCATGGACCCACCGAGTCAGAAGGCAGTCAACCTCGCCATCAAGAACCTCACAGACCTGGTAGGTAACAGTAAAGATCACCTATAGTTTGTCTCGGAGGAGATTACAGGGTTCACATAGTTCTGCAAAGTATTGAACTTTATCCTAATTGGAAATCCTGGTATGTATAAAAACGTAAAAAGAAAAAGAAAAGAAGAAAAAAAATCACAGTATCAAAAAAGTAAAAAGGTTCCAAATAATGAAAATGTGAAAAAAAAAATTAAAATCCATAACGAAAAATAAAAAAAAAGGATAATATGTTTTTAGCTGCTCTGTTTGCTTTTATGCTATAAAGCACATTAGTAAGGTTTTCATTTGTGGTTGAATATCCTAAAATTGCTTTAGATTTGTAGAAATTTACCTTTAAAAAAAAATTCTTTTTTTATGGTAAAAAATTTAGCAACACTTGATGAAGGAAATCTAAGATTTAATTATGTACTTTAAATCTCTGGCTTATTTTCCTTCTGACTTTTAAGATATGGCAAAATTGGATTTAAAACAGATTACATTGTAATCAAATAAAGAGAAAAACAACAAATACTTCAAACAAAGCAGCCACAATAATATTTGTTCATAAAATGATTAATTTTCTCTTTATCACCCAGTTTACCAGCCTGCAGTGTTATCTTGAATGATGTAACTCTGGCACCCTCAGTGAAATGACCCTTTCTTCAACTTAGAAGCAGCTTCAAAGAACCATTTCTATAAAATTGTATTTACAAAAAAAAAAACAAAAAAAACACTGAATATGAATTAGCCACTATCACTTGTTTGATCAATACCATTTGAAGTTATACTGAGATACAGATGACATGATTTTTCTTCTGGATTTTTTGACGTGATGTGTTAGAATGCCCTGGACCACAGAGAGAATCTGACAGCGCTTGGTGTCCACCTGGCTCGTCTCCCTGTAGAGCCACACACTGGCAAACTGATCCTGTTTGGAGCTCTTTTTGGATGCCTCGACCCAGTGCTCACCATCGCTGCTTCGCTCAGCTTCAAAGACCCTTTCTTCATACCCCTGGTAGGGCACTGCGCTCACAGACATGAAAGCCAACATTGACAGCAGAGGCACAGATATCCATACACTTCAGCACATTGCTACAATCTCCCTTCTGGCTCTTTTTATATACCTTGCATACTTGAAGATGTTTTGGGAAATCTCTTTTAGGGGAAAGAGAAGATGGCAGACATGAGGAGAAGAACTCTGTCCAGAAACTCCAAGAGTGACCACCTCACTATTGTCTATGCCTTTAAGGTAATTAAAACCAGCAGCAGTGAGCCTGAATTTAACTTCTAGTTTTACCTGTTTTATAACTGAACTGTCTTAATTTTTTATGCACTGCCTGACAGGGCTGGGAGGAAGCCAAACAGCGGGGAGCTAGGTATGAGAGAGAGTACTGCTGGGACAACTTCCTGTCTGCTAACACACTCCAGGTAAGTCAAACTGATTGTAACGTCTTTTGCCATGTTTTATATTTAGCAGATATAAGATATGTGGTTTACCTTTAAGTAATTTTTAGAAATGTTAATGTACATTTAGCTCACAGACAAAGTGTAAGTGATTTTAAGTTAACAAGATCAAACAGGATTTTATGCAACATTTAATTTATAGTATTTATTTATTTGAAAGGGACAGTGTACATTAAAAGCATTCCTGCAAATGCACCAGAAGGGCATTTTTAATCTGTTGTCCCTGGACAGATCTTAAAATTGTCTACCTAAAAAAACACAACAGTAAGAATTTTACAATGAAAAATACAAATATAAAAAGAAATAAGGACAGCTATAACGTTTAAAACTGATTTAAAAATACAGAATAAATGTTAGCTGCATTTCAGGAATATTTTGGGTTTTTATCAAAAAGGATGAGGTTTCTCAAAAACAAACTATAATCTACCCTTCTAAGTTAAAAGCTTTGAGTTTTTCCACCATAGCATATATTTGGCTGAATTGAAGAGGATAATAGCATTGCCTATTCTATAGACACTACTAAAACAAATAAAGGGAACAATAAAAAAAATGCATCCTAAATCTGAATGCAAACAATATTCTCATTGAATACTTTGTTCTGTACAATGTTTATGTGCTGACAAAAAAATCACACAAAATCATCGATGGAAATCAATTTTATTAACAAATGGAGGCCTGGATTTGAAATAACACATCAAGATTAAAGTAGAAAAAAACACCAGAGTCTGGTCCATATTAGATGTAATGTCCTTAAAGTCGTAGGGAAATCATATTTAAATTTCAAACCATTCTGGCTTAAACATGTATATAAATGTACTTTTTGTTAGACTATGTCCCAAAATGTAGAACATTTCTATAAAAAAAAAAAAAAATCCTGTCTTAAAATCTGTGGGGCTTTTTTTGTATTTTACACAGGCCAGTTAGTTATACGTCAGCCTGTACACCTAAATTCGGCCAATCATATATCAACGGTCATCTGTCAATCAAATTTTTTCGGTCATAGCATCTTGATTCATATGTCGCAGCTAATATACGCAATGGTTGAAATAAGAAATAAGTATCATTATTTGCTTTACCATTGAGTTGGACGTCTGTGTCTTCGGCAGGCGTAGAGCTAACAGAACTGGCAGCGTTGCGAGGCAAGGGCTCAAACATGTACGGCTGTAAGCCTTCTACACCAAATGAAGCTTCTGCCGCACTGACGTCCTCTTCTACAACATCTTCCTCCCCTCTTTCCCCCTCTAAATAAAAGATTTGTGACGGAGGAGACTCATCCACAACCTCTGCCATAAAACTCTCCTCCTCTTACATATTTCTGCTGTCCATAGCGTTCCTTGACAGTGACGTTGCTACGTCACCAGTTTAGACCTACTTGGTCCCTACTTGGTAATTACCTAAGTAATTTACCTAAGTAATTTACCTAAGTTGCTAACTGGTTAGCAAGATGCTTCCAAAACACTGGCCACAGCAAAACTTGCTTGCGAACCTTCCGCCGCAACAATCCCGCCCCCTTAATAATCGACCAATCAGATTCATTTTATTCACTCATGTAAAGTCGGGCACCACTCGGGAGAATTCGGAACTGCAACCATTGGAACAGCCGCTTCCCTTCGACTTTAAAACAGGTTAAAATGAGGCTCAGTATTTTGTGTGGCCAACATTTAACTATTAAGGACATTTCCAGACAATTATTCATCATTGTTTTAAAAGTACAATATTCAAGTTATGGAAGTAAAATCTGTTAATCAGCTGCCTGCTGGTTGGATATCAAAGCAGATACCCTAACTAATGACCTCGCTAATGTCATCATAATACTCTGGTAAACTCAGAGCACCACATGAGGTAAGATACTATGCACATTAAGCATGATTACTTTAAAATACAACTGAAGGTTGTAGAAACCCATACCCTTGATCAATTTAAACTAAAGGTTTTATGCATACTTTTGATATTCGTTCACTTGATTTCAATCTAAGGGAATATTTAAAAAAAATTAATAAAAAAAATAAGACAAAGAAAGCCTTTTGAAAAATAATGCCCAGAGAAGGAAAATTAAGGTGAACAGGTGTTCATTAAATTTTAATTAGTGTTTATTTAATTATGTGTATTTAAAAAAACAATAAGTTTGTTCTAGCCTTGTAATTTCTCTTTTTTATTGTTTAGATGCTTCATAACATGAAAGGTCAGTTTGCAGAACATCTCATGCATGCTGGCTTTGTCAGCAGCAGGAACCCCAAAGACCCTATATCCAACGTCAACTCAGGTAAAAATAAATTTTTTACTCTTTATTTAAAATCAGATATATTCCACAGAGAGGTATTTAATAAATTTAATGCCCTATGTTTTCTCAGACAATGAGAAGTTAATTAAGGCCGTTATTGTTGCTGGACTGTACCCTAAGGTGGCAATGATCAGACCGTCTTACAGCAAAAAGAGACCAGGGTGAGTCTGTTGATCCATTAAAAGCTCAAAACAGAAGTAAAATTTCACTTTTTTATTCTTCTGTTTCTCTCCTGGAAGACAATCTGCACTAGCATTACAATTATTCACATTATTCACAAGAAGTGTCCTCTAACGGTTACCTGCACATTTGCAGCAACGTGTTAGGAAAATTGTCGAAAAAAAAACAAAGGCACATTTGCAGCCCAGGATCAATAAACTCATCAGAAAAGCCCTGAGGCAGCTGTCATAAGTGTCAGCTTTGACCTGAGTGCAAAAGATAAATTGGTTTGGCAATGGCAGTTTTATTTATATATCACATTTCATTATATATAAACTCAGATTACCTCTCAAATGAAGACAAAACATCACAACAACGATATACCATACAGTGCTGTAGAAAAGAGTTTACCCCCTGACATATTTCCTCTGTTTTTTTCAGAATATAAAACCAAGCTTAAACAAAATTATTTTTTTCTTTATAAAGATTATATTTGTTAATAAATAAAAAAAACAATAACTAAAACCAAACCGGTTCCTGTATATAAAATAAAGTAGTTGTCCCCTAAACCTGATAACTTTATTCTACTCTTTGTTTTTGCTTGCAGAGCAGTATTAATTCAGCAAACTAAAATGAGCTTTAAGCATTAATAGCCTGTTAAATGTATAGCCAAAACATCTACTATTTTTTATTTATTTAGTTGGTTAGTTAAAAGGCACTTTAAAACAACCATGGTTGCAACAAAGTGTTCCACATGTAAAAGAAAAACTAAAATATTAAACAATAAATTAGTTCTTAAATTGTTTGTATGAGTGATCTAGGATAAAATGTCGCATTCAGCATTTTTCTACTATTTCTAATCTTCTCTCGGGTGTGAAATGCTCCAGACTTTATGTAGGACTCTTGCGTAGTCAGGCAGCTGTTTTCCAAACCTGTATTTTACTGAAAGACATTTGTTTTACTTAGAAGCAATTGAATATTTTTATTAGGCTACATCATTATATATTATGCAACTCTGCTATTATGAAATATTTTTTTATTTGCTGATGACAGAACTGTCAGTCACTACACCTGCAGCTGGCATGTCCTTGTCAGATGCAGGTGTCCTGGGGACAGTTTGTCAAAAGAAAGAACAATCAGGGAGCTTTATGCAATATCAAGCTACTATTGAAATAACACCCGGAACAGAAAATGGATAGAAAGTAATAACACATAAAAAAAATAATAAGTTTATTATAAATAATAAGAATTTATATTTCTACATAAATATGTATATATTAATGAATAAAATGAGTAAAGAAACTTGATGAAACTCCTATATTAAACGTTCAGGTGCTTTCTGTGAAGTTCAGGAAAGGTTCGTTAAGACTTCTGCACCTGTTGACAGATACTTTAATTGGCCCGAGAATTTTTAAACAAAAAATTCAAAATCAATATTT